GATACTGGAGGTATGAGTAGCTGCAGTAATTGTGAACAAAGGACTGCCATGAGTCTGCCTCTTCAGCAGACAACTTTACTTTGCTGATTGTGCAGTATAATGAAGGTAGACTGAAAGCTGCATACTGTATGTCACAACAGGTGACCGTTCATGTACAGTCACAGTAATGAATGTGTAATTAGGTATCTTCTAGGAGTATCAACGCAAGCTGATTAATCCCCTATGTTGAGAGGAATAGTGCTTAAAAACAAGTGAAATCAAATTTCACACATGCTTACAGTAGCTAGTTGTAACTTAACCAAACATGCTTGTTTTTTGATTTATTTATGTAACCGAATGCTCTCAGACCTTCCCTACATCTTTGAAGCATTCAGCAGCACCTGAATGCCTAAAACTTAAGTAATGCACTTTGGGACTTGATTAAAGTTTTATCCACCTATGTCTAATTTTCAACATTTACCATGCCAGGGATCTGTTGAACAAACTTCTGAGGGTTTTCTCTTCATAAATGGGGTATTGAGTGAAGTAAAAATTTATCAAGTAGTAAAAATTTGCATGCAAGGCTTTGACACTGATACAATTAAAACCTGACCCAGGTGTGGTTATGGCTGTACTTATCCAGCTCTCAGAGTGCAGAGTACTGCTGGGTTTCTACTCTGCTAGACAATTTTCTTTCTGTGTTTGTGATCTAGGGCAAGGAAACTATCCATTTACAGGCTGGCACTGAAAAAAGCCAGAGAGTCCTTTTTTTTCTAAACTTATCAACAAAAATACTAATAATGCACGAGTAATATTTTCCACTGTTGATTAACTAACTAACCCTAAATTGAGTATAGCCGCTGAATTGCTCTCCACCAAGTCATGCAATAACTTAGCCTGTTTTTTCTCAGAAAAAATGATGAAGATGAGAAAAGAAATCAGCTCCTCCACTCCAAATCTAGTCTCAGTGACACTGGTGCATTTACACAAAACAAACTTAGCAATGATGTCAAAGTTTAATCCATAAAACACTAGAAGAAGTGGTGGTCCATCTAAAACCCACTACATGTTGTCTTGATAGTCTTCCGACAAACTTTTTGTATTGCCCCAGATTTATTGCAAATTGTTAACATCTCCCTCCTTTCAGGTGATTTTCCGAAGGCCATTAAAACTGCAGTTATTAAGCGTCTGCTAAAAAAGAACAATCTTGGCTCTTCGGTAATCAGTAATTATAGACCCATTTCAAATCTACCGTTTCTATCCTAAATAATTGAAAAGATTGCTTTCTTACAATTAAATAGTTTTTTTAACCTGTAATAACATTCCAGTCTGTATTTCATTCCCATCACAGCACAGAGGCTGTTTTAATAAAGGTTTTAAATGATATCTGTTTTAACCATGATTGTGGAAAAACAACAGTTCTTGTTTCACTGGACCTGAGGGCTGCGTTCTATACCGTAGACCATGACATACTCGTGGATAGACTGGAAAAATGTGTAGGTCTGTCTGGCACGGTTTAAAAGTGGTTTAAGTCCTATGTTAGAGATAGAGACTACTTTGTATCTACTGGCAACTGTACATCTAAGAGAATAAAAATGACATGCAGAGTTCCCCAAGGGAGCGATCCTCAGGCCTCTCCTGTTTAATTTGTACATGTTGCCAATTGTCCAAATTTTCCAAAAAAACAACATCTCCTACAATAATTATGCAGATCACACTCAGATCTATATAGCATTATCAGCTGATGAATACGGGCCAATTGATTCACTAACCAAATGCATTCGAGGCATTGCTCACCTCAAATCCCTTTCATTAATGACCACAACTCAAGTAAAAAATCAGAATTAAACTTTAACAGCCACATCAAAACCATTACAAAATCAGCCTACTATCACATTAAAAATATATCAAATCAAGAATCTAATGTCCAAGGAGGACCTTGAGAAACTCATACACGCATTTATCTTTAGTAGACTAGATTATTGTAACAGTGTTTTCACAGGCCTCTCTAAAAGACTGCTTAAACAACTTTAGCACATTCAGAATGCCGCAGCTAGAGTTTTAACCAGGACTAGAAAATTTGATCACATCACTCCAGTCTTGAGATCACTTCATTGGCTTCCAGTAAGTGAAAGAATAAAGTCTGAGGTTTTGTTGATTGTCTATAAGGTACTCAATGGGCTAGGACCTATTTATATAAATGACCTCCATCAAAGGCATGAACCTGCTAGACCCCTTAGGTCTTCAGATGCTGGGTTGCTTGTAGTTCCCTTCTCAAACAAAACATGGAGAAGCAGCTTTCGTTTTTTATGCTCCTCATGCCTGGAACAAACTCCCAAAGCACCTGAGACTAGCTAGCACCTTACAGTCAGGTCATGAAACATTCCTGTTCTCTGAGGCCTTTTAAATCTTTTAAATTTGTATTTATCTAATAAAGGTTTTTAGTCCAGTCCAATACATTTCTCTTTTATCTCTTCTTCTTTTTAAATATCAATTTTTACTTTTATTTTTATCACTTGTTACAATATTTAATTTTTTAAAAATTCTTTTTTATTCTCTCTCGTGTATGGAATGCACTTTGACAGATAAATGTGTATTGTTTTAATCTTGACTTTACTATCTATTGCACACTAATTATCTAGCTCCATATTGTAAGGTAGGCTACCTCTGTATCTGTTTTTGTATCTTTGTGTCTGTAAAGCACTTTGAATGACTGTAGTGTTTGGAAGGTGCTATATAAATAAAATTGCCTTGCCTTGCCTTGCCTAGGGCTGATTTTGACCGGGGATGACAAGTGAATGCAATTAACCACCTGGTTAGGGAGAAAACCAGCCTGGACCTTGAGTAGATTTGAGGAGTACTGCTCCTAGCCGTACACTGCGCTTGTTTTCAACAGGGTTGAAATGTGGGTCACAGAGATACTAAACCAGTGTTCAAATTACACCGTGGCTTTCTCGGAGCCCTGTTTTTCCAGGTGTGGGAGCATTAGTGGATTGGCCATCAGGAACACTGGGATATTTCCCGGTGTCCTGAGGGCCATTGTGGCCTGCCAACTGTCTACTTGACCAGTGGCAGTGATAATATAGCAAGCAGGAGAAGGAGTGTCTCAATGCCTTTTCAGATGAGTAACAATACTCTGCCTACGTACCCGCTTGGATCCACAGGGTTGCACTGTGCTCATCATGTGAACAGACAGGCAGACAAGTGCGAGCCAGGCACTCTATGGGTGGTAACCACGGCAACACCTTTTGTGTGCTACTGAACCCCTGCTGTTACAACTGTATTTTCTTTAAAGACTATAGAAAAATTACAGTGGTTAAGAACTATATATTTTAGAAATTAGAGAGAGAGAGGGAGAGCACATTGCTCACAGATTCAGGGCTTGTCTGCAGCTTCTGAATTGCAAAATTGTAATCAGTACATTTAAATAGAAATGTTGTCAGTCAGTGTCTAGTTAATGTATTAACACAAACGGTTAATAGTCGCCGCACAGTAGTGAGAGAATATCATGACACCTGACCACGACACTGACACCTGACGCTGTCCTGCTGTCTCTGTCCCGCTTGCTGTGAGACACCACTGTTATACTGTCTCCAGGATGCTTCATTCCCTCTGAAGCAGCAGTGAGCTGCACTTTATCAGAGGTACTGAAGTGAACATTTGTGTGGAATTGTGGTGATATTGCTGTCTGATCACAAGTGTGTTCAGTTTCGGTTTTCATCCTCTAATGAAGAGTAGTGCGCTCGTCTCACTGAGTAGGCTACAGTCCCAGACGGGCCTGTGTCTGTCAGATGGTCTGAAGTGGTGGACTGGTAATCTGGCATAGGCTACCCGCTAACGAACCTTTAGGGCCGGTGTTACGTAAATTATTTAGGCTATTTATAGGCCTAACTGATTTTTAAAAATGGGCCAATACTGACATTGGGCAGGCCCAATCACATCTCTTACTAGCCACCACTCCCTCACCCTCTGCTCGAGCTGTTTCTTGAGTTGTGGGCGCCAAATGCGCAAAAATAACCGATATGTTTGGTACTGGAGCTGCAGTAGCTTCAACATCAGCTGCATAGCCTACCCTGCATAGAGCAGGCACTTGAAGGAGTAAAGGAGAGCCGTGGCCACTGAAAAATTGCTTACACCAAGAAATGTTAATTAACAAATAAAGTACTATGACAAAGGTTTATTTGCACAATAAGAAAACCTATAATGCAATATAAATGTATTGAATATAAATATTTTTAAAAACTAAAAAAGAATAAGCTACTGCATTACGTTCTATTATATTTTTATATTCTGAATTGTCACCTGCCACCTACCTTTTGTCCTTCCCTTTATAAAAATAAAGACATTTCCTCCATAAATTGGTAGGAAATGAAGTGATTAATGCTCAAAATCTTCTGGGGGAGGACACCCAGACCCCCCTATCAAATGTTTCGTCAATGAATAATTAACTGAATTCTGATTTATCATTGAGGTGAAAAGGTGACATATGCACATTTGAAAACACATTAGGCTACTTCAGGAATGCCTGCAAGTATGTAGACTCAGCTGAGATTAAAGTAAATGAGAAGTTGATCTACAGGAGAAACATGACATCAATACAGAATGGCAACAGTCTTACTGCATTATATTACACTAAATTATTTTATTTTGAATTGTCACCTCAGACATTTCCTCAAACTGGTGCACAAAAATTAAGTTTTCAAGTTCAAATTTTTCAGGGGGAGGCCTCCCCAGAACCCCCTCTAGTTAATATTATCAGTGTTAATTATTATCAGAAAATGAGACAGATTTTAGAATTACTGTGTAGAGGTCATTTACTGTTGCTTTACAGACTTTGGGTAGGCGGCAATGGGGGGTGGGGGGTGAAAACATGAAAGATTTCTGGGCTAGGCTAAACCCCCGATGTTAAGAGCCTGGAAATGCCCCTGGCCTTAACATGCCTTGAAAACTCACTGTTTAGATTGGCTACTTGTTGATCACTCCTGTTGTGGTTTCGGACAGAACGGACCCAAACGCAGCGCTTGTCAGTTTGCAAAAGAGGTTTATTGAGGGGAAAAAGGGAGAGGAGAGACGTGAGGTGAAAAGGGGAAAGTTGGACGCCGGCAGACGTGGGCGCGGGGGGCCGAGGAGCTGGCAGGGCTGGAGAGGTTCAAGTGAGGCGACCGAGAGGGGGCAGGAGGCCGAGGCGAGAGGGGCGAGGAGCGTGAAGGGAAGCCGGGGTAACGCCGCGGAGGCGAGGTGAGGGGAGAAGGTAGGTAGGCGAGTCCAGCTGACTGACTGGATGATGGAGGTGAGTGGACCTGGCGGGGAGAAAGAAAAGACAGGGTTAGTTTAGGGAGACAAGAGGTCAGAGAACAAGGTATCAAAAGGCTAGAGCGTAGAAGTGGCACCAGGACTGGAGCGACGACGATCAAGCGGAGATGGAGTGGAGAACCGGGGTGTAGAAATACTGTTGAAGATCAGGCTGATGGCTGGCAGGTGTGGTGGGCGGAGGTGGAGGTTGACGAGACACAGGTGCGGATCATCATCCGGGCTCCGGGGCGGAGAGGAGAGAGCACACAGAGGGAGAGGGGAGGAGACACAGGGGAGAAAACAGAAATGCAAGACGAAGGAAAAAGAAACAAGAGCACAGGGCACTCACCGTCAGCTGGGCTGCCACCGCAACAAGTCCCAAATGTTTGTATTTTGTAATATGGATAGCTTTCTTCCCAGATGAACATAATGGCCAAATCTATACCTAGTTTGGTACTGTTGCATCAACAAATAAGTTTAGTCAAAAAAATTAGTGGTCTGCTGGTTTGCATAAACAGGGTGGCCTGTGATAGAATCAAATTCCCTGCCTGAATTATTGTGCTTGTCTGCCCCTGAGTGGGAGGGTAGTATATACATGCTGAATGCGCCTGCCTACCTGCAAAAATATCATCAATACATACAGAAATTGTCCTGCACAAATATACACACAAGTTGTGCTTAACTATTAGACTCTTTTTTTTGGGGGGGGGGGGGGCACATTTAGTGGCATACATCTCAAGATTATTTTTGTTTCTTTGGTCTGCAACACTAGAAACAGATGGCAGAGGGGGAGTGAGTGGGGGCTACTAAGATGTGATTGGGCCAGCCCAGTGTCAGTATAGAAAATTAACCAATGGGCCACTGTCCTTGCTTTATAGAACAGTCGTTGGCCTATTTTTTTTTTTTAACAGTTATGTAAATAAATAATTTAAATTATATTGCCCCATAGGTGTGTCAGCCCAGCATTTGCCCGGTATGCCAGATTACCCGTCCACCCCTGTCTAACGGCTAGGCTGGTACAACAAGAGCAGTGCTCTTAAACATGTTGAAACACACAGCAATACAGCGGACATGGCAGCCCATATAATCTACAGTTAAACATAAATAAGCTCAATGTGTCCACACACACACACACACAATTAAAAGAGGTTACAAAAAGAAAAACAGTGGACTTTGTCTGGCGAGTAAAGTCTGTATTCAGGAAACAAAAGATCAACGTTTAAATAGGTATTTCCTCTGCAACTCATGCTAGTAAGGTTTAGTTACTTGCATAGCTGAGAAGAAGAACAGAGCAGTATGCTCTGCGTCTAGTTATGCTTTGCGTGACGTCATTGGCACACTTCTGTCCTGTAGTCCCACGAGGTGCAGCCAATAGCAACTCTGGTTTAGGCCTGACACCTAGGTGTGAAATAACAGTTACAGGATTTTTTGGTGCCTGTTTCTTTGTCTTTGGGATTTCCTTGTGTAAAAGGGCCTCAGCCAGGCTCCTGGAATTCCATGCAGGCCGCATTTCATTTGTTCTCATACTGTCTGGTCCCAACACAAGGGTGGAATGTTCATAGGCCTGGTCCTGGAGAGCATTGTCTTCTCCACAAGAGAATACATGAACAACCCTGCAGCTAACGATGATTTTAGTACTCAAAGCTTCTATAGAGTATTTCAATGATTCATTGATGCGTCGTTTAAGTAGCACTTTTGCCTGGTGGCGGCACCTCCCCCCACAGTAATGGGATTAGCTGATATGATAGATTTTTATTCGGCCTTTCGGAAATTCATAGTGTGTCATACAGCAAACATCAGACCAACAACATTAACAGACCAACTACCAGACAACTGCTTTACCAACACAAACATCACCCTAGTGATATACAACTTATGTTAAGGTGCAGCTCCCCGACACCCAGTTAACTCAGAGAGAACAAACACACGTGTATACATTTTCATCTGAGGACTACATCTTACTTTGGCTAGCCTTCAACTTCACAGTTGCTGATACCTTACCTTGTCTGTGGTCCGCTGACATAACACTGGGTGCTTTCTGATCAGGTGCCGTCGTGCTGTTGCGGTAGGCGACATAAGTTTTGTTTTACAGTGGATGGACTGCAACATTACAGAGTTGTTTTTTTTTAGCTTGAAATAATCCCATACTTTGGACACTCTTCTTCATCCCTATTCTATTCTCTCTCTTCCTCCACTTTGCAAACAGCGCCATCATAAGCACGTCGTGTTCAGACAGTGTAAGTGCGATGTGCGACAGAAATAAATGTCAGTGCGAAACAGGATGCTATATAGTTATATGGATTAAATGAAGCGTTGATGCAAAGAATTTGTGTCAATGCGTTTTAGTAATCAATTTAATCAAATTTTTTCAGCCCTAGTGGAGTGCTCAATCATGTAATTGCTTGAGAGTGGAGGAGCACTTTCTTAGGGCCTTCAGTAAAAAGTTAATGGCCGCTGGGTCCATAATGGGTTGGATTGTACTGTTATTAATTTGCCAAGCGCAAACACAGTAATTGGAGGATATGGACCCAATAGCAGGATACTTAAGCAGAGTAGGGGCAGTTCACAGTGTTTGACATAAAACAAGAGATAAATCCATAACATAGCAGAAGTCACAAAAGACGGGCAGAGAAACTTTACAAGCAATGCAAACATCAAAGACCAGGGAGAAAGCACGGACAACACACACACACACACACACACACGTGGAAAACATTACGTAATCTAGACTGGTGTAAACAATCAACCCAGAAAAATACAAATACAGGAATTAAAAAGTTCATACAAGACAGACACAAAAGTTCAAAATAAAAAACATGAAATATAACACAATCAAAACTGAAAACTTTTACTTTTCCGATGTATTTCCTAATCTAGACTGAACAGTAGTTGCATTACTTCTATTTCACTTTTATAATCATGTGGATGATATCATGATAATGTATAGTGGTATACAAGCTACTTAAGTATAGTAAGTAAACATCCAGGCTTTGATTTTATGACCAGGTAAACATATAACATGTTTTGATGTATAGATGAGAAATTACATTTGTGTGTGTATTTCCAACTGGTTGATGAAATTAATAAATGATTGAAGAAAGTGTTAAAGGGGAATTACATTTTTACAGCTACACAAGTCCGATTGTATTACTGCTAGGGGTGTGACAAAATCTCATACCACGAAACAGATCTGATAGCAGCACAGAATGACTGAGCGCTGCACTGACTTAGATTCTTGTAGAGTTAGGCTATAGAGTTCGAATTGTCACCTGCCACTTAAATTTTGTGTTTCTCTTTACATAAATAAAAACAGTTTGTGTTTCATGATCAAGATCTTTATATAATTCAGATTTCTTAAAAATAGTGTTAATATCTCGTCTCGATCTCGTGAACCCAAGTGTCTCGTCACATCCCTACTACTGAATGTGAAACAGTTGTAGAAACCTTTTTGTGGCTCCAAAGAGAGCTGCTCAAAATCTCAAAAATCAGGTGTTGGGGCTGAGTAGGTTAGGGATGAAGATGAATCTGGGGGTGTGGCATAGAAAAGACATGAGTTTACCAGACCAGTGTAGCCTGCTCCTCATCTTAATTTGGCAACTACCTAGAATACTAGTAACTCAAAGTTGCATTGGATCTGTCAGGGAGGAAAAATGCAAGGAATATTGAAGATGATATCTCTGGTGCTGCTTATAAGAGTAAAAGTGAAACTACTAGTTTCTTCCCTTCAACTTAAGACCTATATGTCAATTTGGAAATGACAGTGGCTTCCAAATCTGTGTTTTGGAAATAGGGCTGATCTATAGTTCACATTTGGATCACAGATAGTGCTTTAAAGGTTTTAAGATTTTGTATTCTCCTGGTTGCAAAGCTAAAAACTATTTTCCAGGTTATCATAATTCATGCATGGAATCTGCTGAAAACATAATTACAGCAAAGCCATTTTACCATCATCAATTGACATTACATTTACTCATTTGGCAGATGCTGTTATTTAAAGTGACTTACATTTGAGGAACATACAAGCAGCAGTAAGAGATCTATGAGTAACAATAGATAATAGGAGCGATTACAACACACACACACACACACACACACACACACACACACAGCATTTATGGGATAAATACCCTATAAATAACAGGAGAAGCAAGAGTTAATTAACAAGTAGAGCAATCAAGACATGTGAATATTAAGCAGACCGAAGAAGAGCACATGAAGTGCATTTTAGAAGTGTTACAAGGAGAGGATTTTAGCATTGTCAGCAGTAATAAAACTGCTTTCATTAGAGCATTATTTCTGTTATATCCAGCTTTGGTACTGCTGGAACATAAAAGCCTCTTAAATGAGAAACATTTATTACCAAGGTCATGCCATAAGAGTTTGTAGTATGTAGCTGCTGTTAGCTTTTCTTTAAAATCATTAAAGGTGTGTGACCTGTCAGTGTAAATACTATGAAGTCCAATCAATCAGCTTCAAGGAGTATAAACACAAGGTGAGCAATCAGCTTTTTTTTAAAAGCCATAAATCTGTTACATTTCATGTTGGTAAACCCCAAGAGCAAACAGAACACAGCTGATGAGGTAAAAGTTAATAGTGTTTAACAATGTTTAACAAATAATGATTAACAAACACGCTGAAGGAAGTGGTAGCTGGCCGAGCTGAAAAGAGCAAGAGGGAGGCAGGCTTGAGATGATGTGGTCCAGTAGTAGTTGTCTAAAAACAGGCTTCGGGGGAGGGGGCAACTGGAGACTAAAATGGCCAGAGTCACTCTACCAAATGAGGTTAAGAACAATCTTGCAGTAAATCACAGGAAACAAGGAGTATTTGACCAGGAAGTTGGTGAGTTGATTGCTAACAGGTGTGTAGTCCTGCCAGGTGCCCAGAGGGAAGCCTCCCCCACCATACACACATACAAATGAGCTTTACACAGAAAACCCCAGAACCACAGCACTGGCTATAAAAAATAAGTGGAACAGTCTGCCTGTGATGTGATACTCTTTTCAGTACTTTCAAAACCAACTTAAAATGTGTGTAAACAGCTGCTCAGCTCTGTACTCACTGACCTTGAATTCTATCTATCAAGCATAGCGTTAGTTCAGGCAGGCAACAAAGTCAAGCTTAGCTCACTATCCAAGCACATCAGCTGACAACTTGGCTGATTCCTCTCTTAGCATTCATTGGTAAATTCCATAAAAGGTGCCTTAATTAAGCAGCCCTAGCCTGCCTGCCCTTGCGGCATCCTATGCAAGCGGTCATTTTGAGTTATATACGTGTCTGTCTGGGTTAATTTTT